GCTCTAAATGGCATGGATCCTTGCCCGAAGGTAGTTAAGCCAGTTTTTTTGGTAGCAAGCCTCTGCAAAAATATATGATTTAAAAAGGATTACTTATGTCTCTTGAGTAGAATACCCTTTATGATTCTAAAAGCGTTGAATCACAACGGGCTCCTCACAATAATGGCAAAATTTAAATTTAGTCCAGGAACTTGTGGGGTTTCATGAAACTTCGCTTATTTCTAAAGCTAGTCCCATGTTTTGAACTTCAACCGACTTTTTGAAGACTCATACTCATGGAGAGTGGGTACGAAACTTTGAAATAGTGAGATGCAAACCTGCCGGGTCTGGTTGTATCAGCCATGGCAAAATCGCAATGTAATTCTTGCGAGATCCCTCGCGTGTATCAGAAACTTGAAGCAATCGAACTCGTTGATAAATCCCGAAAAAGGAGTTGGCTATTTCCCGATTAAATGTTTTCTGGATCTGTTAAGAGTTATTGATGCTATGTACATACGGTGCAATCATGAATGAAAACAAAGCTTGAGGCAAGATGTCTTTAGCTTGCCCTACGGAAAATCAGTAATTAAAATTTAAGTTGAGTTACTACCAAATATATAAAAAAAACTCACCCCACAAACTTGATAGCTATAGTTTAGAATTGTAAAATTTTTTTGATATGTATAAAGGTGATGAAGGACCGGTAGTTGAATTTTCTCACAATCCTATAAGTATATCTGACGTTTCCATTGAATTTCGCAGACTTGGTTTTCCCAAAAGTGTTTTCATACAGGGTGGACATTTTGGAAAAGCAAGGCTATGCGAAATTCAAAAGAAATGTCGGCTTTACTTGTAGCATTGTGAGGCAATTCAAATACTGGTCCTTAATTACCTTAAACGAAATAGGATGAAGACTTCTCATATATCTGATTTACTGGTAATCTCGAAAACCTACCCAATGACGAAAGAAAATCTACAACCTGATTCTAGGAATGTAATCAATGCTTTTAATGAATGATTCAAGTTCCCTGCAATTTTTCTAATGCTCACTCTTTCAAATAACTTGAATAAGAAGTTATATGACCTTTTCTTCACAACTTGGTCATATTTGCAGGAAGAGCTACAGGAACGCACCTTGTCCGGAGTTCATATAACGCATGATTATTTCCCTAGTCGGACCGTGGTACATTCCCAAACGTTTCGCCGGCATAGTCAGGGGGCCTTGCCACTCTTAGCACCACACTACAAATAGTGAGAGGCAAGTGTAGCCGATCAATTGTGCTATCTCTCCTTCTGTCATGGCCTATTCACCTATCCAATATCCTCGTGTGACTCCTTCAATATCACAATCTCCTACCTGTTTATCTAAGTCTATTTGTAACTTATTCATATTCCCTGCTGGTTTAAACACCTCTCACGCTGTCGAGTGTTTATTCAAGGCAGCGGTTTAATCCGCAACCCTCTCCCTTCGGGCCCTATCAGAGTCCCCTCTTGCTCCGTGATATTGAAAGGGTGATACGAGGAGGAGGTAGGTGAATAGCCCAGGATAGGAGAAATACAACCGTTAAGCGCATAATTGGCCGAAGGATCGACTTCATTTGTCTGTTTTGACGAGTTGTAGTTTGTTGCTGAGACTGGCAGGGTTCACTGAAGACACCAGCGAAACGTCTGGGAATGTACCACATCCACGGTCCGACTAGGGAAATAATCATGCATACTATTGACTCCGGACAAGGTGCGTTCCTCGAGGTCTTCCTGCCAATATGACCAAGTTGTAAAAACAAATTCTATACAACGAAAGCAGACCGCGACCATAAAAAATTTCACATCACCCTGGTCTTCATATATTTGATTAACTTGCATCGCTTTTACTAGTTAACGCCTCTTCTGTCCTTGAAGGATAGAGCGCATGCCTTCCTGCTAAGTGTAGCCCTCAATGAGCTTTTGACACAAGCCCTATTGTATGTAATTTTCATTCCGCATCAGAATCACATCTGAATTTTTATTGCCAAATTCACGTTTGCAGAGCAATTTGAGTGGACTTAGGATTACCCTAGCGTCCAATATTATCAATGCCTATCTGAAATTATCTCACTAATGCTTCATTACTGAATTCAGACATTTCGCAATAGAATCACAACTATTCATTAAGTGCCAGGATTCAAGATTAATCAAATCAAAATCATGCTTATGTAAACGAGTTACCGTAGTACCATTTACCCTAGGTAAATTCGTATTAAATTGTCACCCTAAGGAGTGGCAACTTTGGCAGCACCATCCTTTTTGTCGTGTTCATCTAAAAATATTAAGACTCACTAAAGCAGTTGGCCGCATAAGATAAACCTTGTTTAAAAATAAAGTATATATCGTTATGCACAGATTAAATATTCTAACTCATGCTTAAGACCTCAAGGTTCAAATATGAAGCTTTCGCAAATGCTTTTATATCCATACTATCTAATTTTCTGCAGTCACTTAGAAAGAGATCCCACTTTGAAGCAGATACTATGCGCAGAGTATTGATCATATTTAAATTAGGCTCACGACAATCTGTGTTCTAATGATTCAGGCAATAAAATAACCGAAAAACGTTTAATTTTAAGAGTAAAAAAACTTGGGTCAACCATTTTTTCTTCATGGGGAGAATATAAAATGTAATAATAAAGAATTGCAAAAAGTGAAAGCTGGTATTGAGGGGTGTCAAGTTTATGATTAATCTGGGATGGAAGTGCTGGCTTGTGGAGAGGATGAGTTTCTTTCTTGTAATGAAGAGGAATTGGCATCTAGCGATTGTAGAGACTGCTGTCTTGGAAGAAGACGTTGAACAGAAAATGAATGTGTAGCGTCTAAAGCGGAAGTATCAGAGGGTTGAAGAGTGTCCAAAGGAGTATGAGAAAAATTCGCTGCCTGCGAGGGAGGTAGTTGATTGTGCAAGCTAAGATTGGGCCAATAGACATAGAGAGGCTGGCAGATTAGTTGAATCAAGTGCTTCATATCAGATATCGGCAAATGATCATTGCTCAGAGGAGGAATGGATTTACTGAGTGTATCGGAGGTATCATTGCTCGAAGTCCCAACTGGTGGTGCTAGCCGACTCGCGAGAGAGGAAGAATAAGCAAATGTGACAGCACTTGGAGTGAATAAATGAATAAGGCCGATTAGCAAATGCGGTACTAATGTATGCAAAAATGTATCGGCTGTACTGAAAGCATCTACTCGCCAATTAACTGGGCGTAGGTCCAGAGCCGTACGGTAGGACAAAGAGAGTCGATAGGAGGCCTGATAGAGGAGGTTGACTAATTTATGTAGGAGCCTACGGAAATGAAAAATTAACAGGATATATCATTTGGTATTTCAAAGGCAAAATTCCAAACTAGCACAGGTTAAATAAAAGGAAGCAAGGCGGTTTAACTATAATTAATATTATAGCAGAGAAAAAACACTCACGAACAAATAATATATAAAATTAGTCAATGCAATCACATAGGCTTCATCTTGTAGATCATAATCTATTTTTACAATCAAAATAAAGATAACAGCTTAGTCAACAATCGTCCATTGGTTGTATAAGTCAGACGAAGTTCACAAACAAACACCCGCGTCTCAATATGATGACAATAGAGGAAAAGGCAGGTTTGAGGCCCTTTCACTATATCTAAGGAATATTGAACACAATAACGTATTGCATATGACGATAACTTAAAAAAAATATAAGAAAAATTTAGACTGAATTTTGATTTTAATTATATTTGCCAATGCAACACACAAGAAT